GCAGGTGAGGCAAAACGATTGCATAGGCAACCCGCATCGGTTACGCATATCTATCTCTTTCTATCTCACGTTGGTTAATGGAAGGCTCACGCATTTTTTTAAATATTTTTTTATTTTTCATGTTTATTTAGGAGTAACAATTGCTAAATAAACAAGTTTTGTCATTTTGTGTCTTATTGTGGCACTTTTCCGTGCTATTCTAAATTTAATAGTGATACATTCGGCACTTTAAATATATGGCAGTTGTTTTCCGAATGATCTGAATTTGTGACATTCCTCATCAACAAATCCTTGAATTACAGGGTGCATTTATAATTTTTTGTTGCAAGTTCATTTTGCTTCTTAAAGGGTTTCCACTTCCTAATAGAAGGCGAATATGCCTTTCTACAAAATGTAAAATTTTAACACCACATTTGAAGCATAAAAAAGACCTCGAGTAACTAAATTGGTGAATGATTTATAAGCTTCTGGAGGAGTGGTATTGTTCTCGATCGCGCTCCCCAAATTCAGCGCCTTGCCGCGCGCCTGCGCTTGAGGGGCCGACAGACCCTCTGGAGTCGATATCCAGGTAAGTATTATTCGGTTCAAGAGTTACGGAATCGGGAAAGTTCACCCCAGGACGCATCCCACCTAGATTTCGCTGCAGCGGCATCGTCCCTTCCAGCACGACCTCCACTGGAGCGTTAAAGGCTCCTTCCAAGGACTCGGTGGACGTGAGGGATTCACTTAGCCGATCTTCTTCCAGGGCTCGCTCTGGACGGAGTGAGCACGCAACCAACTTCTCTCTTGAGGTCATTGTTTACAGTTACACAAAGTTCATACAGTTTTTTATATACCAAAGTTAACAATAATAATTTGTCTCCCCTTTTTCCAGTTAACTAGACGTGTATTTTAATGACTAGGTTATTCCCCAAATCAATGACTCTAATTCGCGACACTACTAGTCTTTACTATCAAAGTTATTTATTAGTCTCTAACTCTCCCATTTCACACAATAGTTCAATTAGTCTTTGCTACCACTCTACTCTAAGTTTAAAAGTCTCAATTGTCTATAACTGCCAATTTAGGCGACCCTGTATATACAATTCTCACTTACCCGCCAACTACGGTCTGCTCCCTGGATCAGCTTAGAGTCCGGCCCTGCCTCCAGTGTACACTTTAGTTTTAGGCAAATTTAGGTAAGTTATTTTTAGGTATCACAACAATCAAATTCTGTCTATCAAATTTACTTGACTATGTATATTTAGCTTTCTAACCTTCAGGTTGAGGTACTACTAATAGAATTCTTTTATGTGTAGGTACCTTTGTTACTACCAAGGCCAATACTTATGGTATCGCCACAATTAGAGACAAGGAAAGAAACGCCAACTTCACTAGACACATATATTGTCGTTAATTGTTATACACTAATAACTCTTTCTCTTTCAGATTGGACTTGAAACTCCTGGATGACGCGGATTGTGATGACACCTCAACTCCCCCGCGAACCAAGTTGAATTTTTCTAACTACTAATTGTGTCCACGACTCTACAGGTAAGTAAATGTTTATTTTTCCACCTTCCCAATACTTTAAATACACGTTAATAGGTATCTAACCCACTACTATAAAAGTTTTTATCTGCACGACTAGTTCAAAAGTCGCCACTCGGCAACTATGACGATGCTATAGTTGAACTTTTGACGTAATTCTTTTTATTTAGCTTTTTTAGGGCTCCCACAGGACACCCTCACCAATTATACCGATTTCTTGACTTTTCCTACCAAAAAGATTCGAATTTCGGTCGTCAGCACTCCCCTATACTGCGAAAAGAACTGCTCTCGAAGCTACCGCGACTCGCGTATTTATTTGGGACCAACCTCCCAGGCCACGCCCCAAAACGGCGTCTTCGCCAATCCTGGCCTCCTCTCACGCCCTCAATCTAACAAAACTATTTTCCCGATCTACGTTTTTCCAAAAATCGCGGAAGTCCCCGCGACCGCGACAGTATAAGAGTGGTCAGTAAATATACTACCTCTATCTAGTTATATTTCAACACAATGATTACATGTAGTGTCATTAATGAGGTTACGAACTATATATCCAGAAATTTAAAACACTACATTTTCTTGAAATTCACTCAATTTTTTTCATCTAAGCACCTAATTAAATTAGCAATATCATCAGTATAATTCTTCGTCTTTGAGAAAATATCTTTAAAATAAACCAAAGTTTTTGACCTAATAGGTGCCTTATACCCTTTCCCAAATGAATTTCTGCAACGTGATAAGCGGTTTCTAATACTGGATTGTCCCATATTTGGTAGCTACCTCTTTCGTACGTAGCATTCGTGCTGTTAATCCATTCGATTGGTTCTTCAGTGTACTGATTCCAATCGTAACACGCCAAAGATTTATGGACTGGGTCGTTTCCGTCTCGCTTTTTGACTCGGTAGCAAAGCAATTTTTGCAGCAACACGGATATCACCGTTGTTACTAGCCAAAAGCTTGGTCAGGATGTCAAGAAAATGACTGTTTCTGTCAAATTCAAAAGCATCGTATTGATCAAATGAGCTTTCAACGTAGAAAAGCTCTCCGGCACTTCCCATCGCAGAGTCGCTAATTGTTGCGTTCATACGATATTTTCCGCTGATGGCTGATAACCACTTGGATATATGCAACAGTAAATTAGAATTAATCCAATACCGATCATGCATAATAACACGCGTGAATTCAGTGTCGATACTTGCGTGTTTTAACGCCTCAACTTGTGCAGTTGTCAATAATTCTGCTTGGCTATAACCTAAAAGGTTACGCGTAGGCGCCCCCGCTTCGTTGGTATTTGGTCGAATTGCTGCGGGCAAGTCCCAGATCTCAGGGCCGTCACGCAATGTAGCTGACATATCAGCTATCATTCGTTGAGTTGAAACCAATGTCGTTGGAACTGTCTCATACAGCGTATGGGTATCAGCATTGATATTTCCGAAGTGGCCTTCGATGTTCAACACCTGTGGCATGATCAACTTCACTCTCCCTTGGTCACGAGAGTCGAGGTCACCGATCCCATCTAACCACGGCAACAATGTGCTCGGATAGTATGCAGGGTCCCTTTAGACAAAAAAATTATCATCGGGGATCCGACACTAGGGTACGGCAGCTTTTCGTCAGAGAGCAATAGGGTCGCGGATTGTAATAATTTTCTGGTATCATCGAGGTAGGTTGTACTGGGCGCCACGTAACTTCACTTGAAATGTGCGGAGTACTCTCGATTTTGCCAAGTTACGAAATCAAAATCGTGAAACAAAGATATTTAAAAAATTAATGGTAAAGTGAATGAAATAAAAAATTGTAGTAGATAAAATTTTAAAACTATTTATTTCAACTCCCGAAATTGCAAAGTGGATTGTACATTAATCTAGTAGATACAAAAAAATATTATTTAAAGTTTAGTGATAGAAAAAATAAAAAAAAAATATTGAATGGTTTTAATATAACTATTTTGACAGGTTGTACTGTCAGAAACAAAACTGATAAAAATATTTAAACATGGGCTAAGAGCGCATATTCATAGTACTGTGATCGTGCGTTACATACGTTTTCAAGATATGCTTTAGTAGGTTTAAATAGTAGTAAAATAGTTATATATAAACAACAACAAAAAATTTTAATAAATATATGAGGCTTATCGGCTTGTCTGGGGAGTGAAATAAGATGTTGCTTCTTAGGTGGCAACGAGGTACTTGGGAACAAAATACTGTCTATCCAGTCCTAGGTTTTGTTGACCAGTGTATATGGATCGCTGTGGGAACACTGTGGTAGCTAATGATGAACGTAGGCCAAACAAAATGTAATGACGACGTCCTTATGGGCAACAGGAAGCCACTAGTGGATAGTCCTCCAAAGCTGGACTTAGACGAAATGTCGGAGCTTATCAAACTTATCCTAAAACCCTTCTGTGGAAGAGTTTAAATTGACGTAATCAAAATCACCATCGAACGTAATGTAGATATTAACAGAAAAGCGTCTCGGAAAACCTTTATCGAGAGGCCTCTGGGTACAGAGACACACTGACGGCACACAGCATCAGCACTAGAAAAGGTGGTTTTTCAAACCCCAAGAAAATGGAAAACTGCAAAATCAATCACAATCCACCCAGTGCTTTTTACTTCACTAGAACCCGTCCGTCTCTCCCAGTTAGATGTTATTTTCTGACCTCAGCTAGAGGACACTTTTTGCGAATATCATTTCAGCGATTTTTAGAAGTGGTGTGTTGGTTGCCTATTGTATCGAATACTTAAGACAATATCATGAATAGCAGCAATCAGAAAACTCAATGTCGATAAAACAGAAGAGCGTGTAGGTGTAATTCGAAAGAAGTAAAATATGACAGAATGCCAAGAAGATATACTAATTTAAAAGTAGCGTTGTTAGTAAGTATACATACATTAATCCTAATTAATTAATGAATAAGAAAAGTAGCAGTTCAAAATGCTACAAGTATAGATTTAGGTCTTGTAGCAACTCTCTTGTTGTTCGGTCGTTCATACTGAGTGTCCCGTTCTTTGATCTCCAAAATTCTTCTATAGAACATTACGTAAACGTAATACTCCAGCATCGCTTTTGAGACCTGTTGACAAAACACTTTGTCACAAGCCGATAACTCATTATAGAGTTGCCTGATAGCGGATGGTAAACATTCCGCACTGATAGCGATTTGAAGCGCATCGCCTATAGATTGTAGAGCGTTGTCTTCTACCAGCAGCATCGGCATCGAGTCCAGTTCGCCCGGATCCCGCACTGTTGTATCGGTAATAAGACTAGCATCATTTGGAGTCAAATAGTCTCTCCCTTTCTTCTGAGGCTTGCGCCACATCAGAAACTTCGATGGTATATCACTCTTAGCGGTAGACTCTGATGTCTCCGCTGGTTGTAGAGTGGTCATTTCCATTTTTGGTACACCGTATGAAGGTGTGGGAGGATCAGAGGTTGTTTTAACTGGCGGTTCAAGTGAGGCTTGTCATTATCTAATTTGTAGTTTCTGTCTGCTGTCCTTCCTCGGCCACGTTGAAAACGTCCCCTTGTTGACTTCTTGTCTATGTTCGACATGTTAAATAAACCGTTAGGTTAAAAATTCCAAATATTTATTGTCCTCTAAATAATGTTACTTTATTTAATATTTGTCTTTTAGTAGATTTCACTGAATTAAATATTTTAACTTCATGATTTATTATCACATCGATATACTTTTCACATACAGTCCTCACAAGTTCTTATTAATCCATATTTTTTAAATAAGTTCACATTCAAAAAGTTTTTTAATACATGATAAACAATTTTATTTTTTTGTAGCTTGAGTGTACTGTTTTTATAGGAGTTATTAAAAAAATATATTATTATTTTTTCTATTTCTTAAATTGTCATTTTTCTGAAACATAATGATAAAATTAGTTTAACTAATGCAAAATGTAACGGCATATATTTTTAATATACGAATATAAACATTAAAATTGCTAAAGCTATTATTAAGATTTTTAAAATTTGGATAAAAAATAAAATTCTAACATTACTTTAAAATCTTTATTGGCCTTTAAATATTGTAACTTTATTTAGTACATGTCGTTTTGTAACTTTTAGAGAGTTAAATATTTTTGTTTCGTGATTTATTCTTATATCTACATATTTTTCGCAAATAGCTCTAATAAGTTCTAA